TTCCCTATATGAAACCATAACTTTTTTATTGGGATGGTATTGGATGATTTAGATGCAAGCAATCACTTGAGATTTCTGTAACAAAATTCTCCTGCTCTATAGTTGCGTTGTCCCTGGGATTCGAGATTTCCTTGAAAAAATTGATTGTTTTGATGATTGTGTCATCTCATTTTGTTTGGTACATATACCCTCTCTCGCCCTGAAATTTAGAGATGGTAAACAGGTAGCATGAGTTTTTTGCGTCTTGTATTTGATAACTGATCTGTTGTTTTTTTAAAGTAAAAGGTTTTTTTGTGACTGGAAAACTCATCGCCCTTGCAGTACTTTCAACTTTTCTGTGAATTTTGTACCTGAAAGCATCTCTTCTTTTAGAATTGAAAGAAACTTTAATTCAGGATAACATATTCTGAAAAATAGATGTGCGAACAGAGAATGGAGGGTTTCAGTCGGTTTAAAATATTCTGGGTCAACCCTGTTCTTTTTATTGAGAAAGGCTTCTAAATTCTATGTGACTGGAATAACTGGACGTCCTGTGGTTTTTCCTTTTCAAAAGTGGAAGGCTGCTCTCTTGATGCTTTTGCACTCAATTGATATGGTTGAACTGGTGCCTCATCATGGATTACATTTGGTATTTTTGAATACCAATTTGAGCTTGGAAAATGATCTCATGTGAACTATTTGTTCAGTCCCTCCTGAACTGTTTTTGCGCAATGCAGTCCCGTAAAAGATTGAGCCTTGTTTCGATGGTTGAAAAGTCAAGTTTTTTGCATTGTTTGTAGACCCAGAGGATTATTGGATGCCCCTGCAGCAGTTCCGCTGGAATTATATTTTGGTCTCTGCTTGTCTCGGACTTTGATTTGGTGGCTTGCGAGAAAAATTATGATTCAGTTTCTGCTTCTCCTCTTTGCATGCATAAAACCAGAACTTTTTAATTGGGATGGTATTGGATGATTTTCAACAACTGATGTAGACGCAAGCAAGCACTTGAGATTTCTGTAACAAAATTCTCCTGCTCTATAGTTGCCTTGTCCCTGGGATTCGAGATTTCCTTGAAAAAATTGGTTGTTTTGACAATTGTGTCATCTCATTTTGTTTGGCACTTGTACCCTCTCACTCTGAAATTTAGAGTTGGTAAACGGGTAGCTTGAGTTTTTTGCATCTTGTATCTGAAAAGTGATCTGTTGTTTTTTTAAAGTTAAAAGGTTTTTTTGTGACTGGAAAACTCATCGCCCTTGCAGTACTTTTAACTTTTCTGTGAATTTTGCACCTGAAAGCATCTCTTCTTTTAGAATTGAGAGAAACTTGAATTCCGGACAAGATGTTCTGAAAAAGCTCATGAAAAATAGATGTGTGAACAGAGAATGGAGGGTTTCTGTGGGTTTAAAATATTATAATTCAACCCTGTTCTTTTTATTTAGAAAAGCTGCTAAATTCTATGTGACTGGGATAACTAAACATCTAGTGGTTTTTCCTTTTCAAAAGTGGAAGGCTGCTTTCTTGATGCTTTTTCACTCAACTGAGATATGATTGAACCAGTGTCTCATCATGGATTACATTTGGTATGTTTGAATACCAATATGAGCTTGGAAATTGATCATATCTGAACTATTGTTCAGTCCCTGTTAACTGTTGTTTCGCTCAACTTTTTTTCACTGTTTCCAGTCCGAGGATTATTCTATGCTTGTGCAGCAGTTCTGCTGTTGCTGTATTTTGGTCTGTATTTGTCTTCGATTTTGATTTGGTGTTGTGTGAGGAAAAAAAGAAGTTTTGATTTCTTTCTCTTTTTCCTATACATGAAACCAGAAATTTATTGGTATGGTAATTGATGATTTTCAACTGATTTAGACGCCAGCAAAACTTGATATTGCAAAATGCTCCTGATTTATGGTTGCCTTGTCACTAGGATTTGGGACTTCATAACTAAAATTGACTGGTATTATCGGACAGAAAAATCCTATTTGGTTTCATAATTGAATTGCCTGCATTTATCTTTATTATGCCTATGAACATGTGGTTTAGGCCATTCTGACCACTGTTGCCCTAGTGTCTTTCACTATTTTTTACATCATACTTCTTGTTTTACTTCTGTGTAGATGGGGTAGGAATCAATCCTCAGCAAAGTGCAGGTATGCCATGCTCCCTTTACATTTTAAGCTGTGTTGTCAGTGCTTTTTTTTTATGTTGTCTCTTCAAGTATTTGTGATATTCGCATCTGTGCTGATTGATCATTATATTATTAAGTTGCATGTGTGCCTCGTGTCCCATCTCCATTGTCCCGTTGCCATTTTCAGCACTATAATTTGGAAGAGAAGTATGCTATTGCCAGTAACTGCTGGCATTATCAGCAAGGCGCTAATCATTTAGCATTAACCTTGTCCATCTTCACCAGATAACACAGTAGCTTCTATTATCATGCCCCATAACAAGTGATAAGATTTCTGTTTAGGATATTATCACTGTAGCATAAGTGCGTTAACAATGCATGAATTCTACTGCCTCCCTTTTCATTTGCTAGCTCCAGGCGATAGGAAGTATCTGTTGATGATGATATAATTTTAGCAGTGATTTGGGCACTACACTGCATTGTTTTTAAGTATTTTAATGTTCGTTTCACATGACTTTGACTGGCTAGGCAGTGTCTTCCTTAAACATGGTTCTGAACTGCGCCTGATCCCACGTGATAGGGTTGGAGCTTCTGAATGTTGAAAACATGATCATCATCAGACTAAAAAACTGGTTAATCTTTGTGCTTACTCTGTTATCTTATTTTCTTCTATACCATTCTGTAACTTTTAATTAGTGTAACTGGTATCATAATCAATATCAATTGAGAAGGAAGGTAGCTGAAGGTATCTGCAATGCATGGTCTTTCAAGTTAATCATAATAGAAAGGTCTCCTTGCCCTTTTTCTTAGTCCTTTCTCTTTCATTATGTGGAGCCTTGTTTTCATCAGAGATTTGAGCTGGGGGTGGATGATAATAGGCCATGGGCCTTGTTGCTTCTAATCACGGCCGACACAGATGCAGTGGTTTTAATAGTTAAACTGCTGTACCTTGACATACTGAGAGCTACCCTGTTGATGGATCGAGGTTCGATTCACCTGCCTTGTTGATGGATCGAGGTTAGATTACGTGTATTTTTTTATTTTTTTTTGTGGGAAACCGCTATGACATGAAAGCGTTGCTCCTGGACTAGCTGCTGCGTGAAAACGTTATTTCCACTTCAGCGTTATACTCGGTCTGAACTACCATGAAAAGTTGTTTCGTTCTCTGGCCAGAGAAATCCAGAAACTAATTGGTGTCGGCATGCCTTGCCCGAGCATAATTCAATAACGCATTGCCTTGGTGCGGGGATGTGCATGTTTTATCTTTAGCTCAATGTGCTAGCTGCAAACGGAAATCCAAATCGCACGAATGGTCAGAAATTGCCTTTTTTAGACGCGTGATCATCGTGTAATGGTTGTGCCTTTTGTTTGTTGAAAATGATCACTGCCGAAGACCTTTTGCAGAGGCAGAGTAATGAGCTGGTTTTCCTGCTCTTTCCATCAAAGTGCATGGTGCTCACCCTTGCAAGGATAATATGAGCTTGCGACCAAGCTGTCCAGTAGAATTTGTGTTCCAAATTCTCAAATGAAGTCATGTTCCTCTTCAAGCACCCCCTAACACACACGCAAGCACACTCTAAAAGGCATGGAAAAAATATTATAGCTTTTCCACACTTTTTAGGTTCATGACACTAGTATTTTAATTCCTCTTCTTGTTTTTTTTTTGGTTTTTATGCCTTTTAGTTTTTCTTTCTTTTAATTAATTTTTTTAATATTAAATTTTTTATTTGATTATCAGATTTTCATGACAAGAATTTCAAGTTTGACAGGTTAATTTGGTTTGATGAGTTAATCTGGAATTATTTTTTTGTTTTAATTAATTTTTTTTAATTTAGTTTGTTAACGTTGAATTTATTTTAATTTAATTATTAAACTTTTATAAAACATATTCTGGGTTTGACAGCTAATTTGTTAAATTTTTTTCTATTTAGTTATTAAATTTTCATAATACGAATTGTCAAAATTTTTTTTATTTAATTATTAAATTTTCATAACACGAATCTCAGGTTTAAATGTTTAATTCAGTTAATTTTTTTTTTTTATTAGTTTTTTTCTTCATGTAGATTTTTACTTTTTATTTTTTAATTAATTTATTTAATTATGTTTATGACATGATCTTGAGCTAGATCCACATCTAGAGTTTTTGAGTTTGATATTGCAGTCAGATTTATTTAAACTTGGATAATGTAAGTTTAATATTATTATTATTAATATTATAAATATTATGCTTGGATCAAGTGTTGCAGCTAGACTTAAGCTTTTTTGGTATATCTTTACAGAAAAACCTAATATTTTTAAATTTTGGCTTTTTATATATTTTTTATGCAAGAAAAAAATTAATTTGTGGTATATCCTTTTGTTTTTTATTTTCATTTCTTCTTTTAAAAATTTTTATGGTGGATTGCACAGTATAGTTCATAGTAAAAAAGTTAATACCTTTAATTTTTTTTTTGTTTTTTTCTTTGTTTCTTTGTTTTTAATTAATTTTTTTTACTTTAGTTTTTTAATATTAAAATTTTTCTATTTAATTATTAAACTTTTATAACACGGATTTTATATTTGATGGGTTAATTTGGTTTGGCAAATTAACTCACTTGATTTTATTTTTTTTCTTTGTTAGTTTTTTTCTTTTAATTTTCTTTTTTAATATTGTATGTAATTTATAGTGAAAAGACTGATGTCTTAAGTTTTTTTTTCTTTTTATGTCTTTTATCGTAGATTGCATAGTGCAGTTCACGGTGAAAAAGCTAATTTGTTTTTAATTATTTTTTTAATTTAGCTTGATATTAAAAAAAATTTCTATTTAGTTATCAGATTTTCATTATACGAATTTATGGTTTCATAAATTAACTCAATTAATTTAATTTTTTTTCTTCATTAGTTTTTTTTTGTAGGCTTTTCCCTTTTTGAATTATTTTTTTATTTAGTTATCAGGTTTTCATGACACGGATCTTAGGTTTGATGGGTTAATCAGTTAATTTAATTTTTTTTTGTCTTTTTCTTCATTAATTTTTTTCTTTCTATAGTTTTTTTTCATTATTTTTTTTAAATTTAGTTCATTAATATTAATTTTTTTTATTTTGTTATTGCACTCTCATGACACAAAATTAATCTTAAATTTGATAGGTTAACTTGATTTAATGGGTTAATTCAGTTGATTTAGATTTTTTTTTCTTCATTAATATTTTTTTTAATTTTATTTTTTAACATTGTAACTATAATAAATAAATATATATATATATATATATATATATATCTTTTACTATGGATTGCATTGTGCAAATTTACAGTGAAATATAGATATCTTTTAGTTATAGGTTTTTTTTATTGCTTTTTTCTTTGATGTTTTTTAATTAATATTTTTTATTTTTTTTATTTAGTTATTACATGCCTATGACATAGATTTCAAATTTAACAGGTTAATCTGATTTAGTGGATTAAACTAGTTAATTTATTTATTTTTTAAGTAATTTTTTCTTTTAATTTCATCTTTTAATATCAATTTGATTAAGAATTAAAATTTATAATTTATTTTGTTTAATTTTCATTAAATTATTATGATTTAATAAGAAGATTTTGTTGTGCCTCTCCTTGCAAAGCACTATTCATTGGAATGGTGCTTTGTTTTATTTTTTTAATTAATTTTTTTATTTAATTTTATTATATAATATTAAATATTTTTTTATTTTGTTATTACATTTTAAGGTTTTTTGATCTGGTATTATAGTTAAAATCACTTAAATTTTAGTCATGTAAATTTAATATTATTATTATTATTAATAATATTATAAAGATTACTGCTGTATTATAAACAAACTCAAGATTTTTAAATATAATTTTACAGAAAATTTAAAACTTTTAAAATTTAATTTTTTATATTTTTTATATAAAAATAATTGACGGGCGGCAGCACAGCCAAATATATATATATATCACGTGCTCTCTAGCAAGTCGGTAAAGGAGGAGAAAGGGGGAGGGGCGTCCTGAAGAGACGAGGTCCACGGTGATGGGTATCGTCTTTGAAGAGAGGACATGTGCATTTAAAGTTGCACTGAATCTTTTGGCTCTTAAAATCACAATTGAATCCGATCCCTGAACCATCACGGTAACCATCTTATTCATGTCTTCTAATAATGTTCGCCTGGTCGGGGCCAGCGACAGGAAGGAGCCCACCCCGCCAGTGTTTTTGATTTTTCTGATACTTTCTTGAGTGGCATCTGCACTTCTCAATTGTTACGTTTCCAGCGGGCGTTACGTGTTGCGTTGGAGACGGGACACGTCAACTACTGATATTATCAGTTTTGAAACTGCTTCGGCTTTTGCTGAGGTTGGAGCTGATAGCCATGATTGTAGTTGTAAAAGCGTGGCAAGGTGCTGTGTTATAGCTACTGCAACCATAGCTGACAAATGGTTTTCAAAATCTTTATATTTTAGCTTATAACTTTTAGCTTTCAACTGGTTTCCAAAACTTTACCATATATTGTTTTAGTTTTTTTTAGGTTGTACAGTGGTGTTGGTTTAAAATATTTTTTATTTAAATATATATTAAAGTAAATTTTTTTATTTTAAAAAAATTATTTTTATATTAGCTCATCAAAATAATATGAAAATAAAAAAATAAAAAATATATAGTTTGCACATATGCCTAGATAGTTTTTGGTGAAAAATCCCCAGGCTATAAACAGCCGGAGATCATGAATTGCCAAAGGGTCTTTTAGATGCCTTGTGGAGATCCAGACGATACCGCAGCAGCGACCATAAAAGACTTCGGTTCTGGTGAGGGCTGCTTGGTTCGTCAACGTCCTCTCCTTTTTGGTTGTCGTAGATTTGAGATTGAAAGGCTGATTGGACAGGGATAGCAAGCGATCCGACCGTTAGCCTATTCTATATTTACAGTTTCACTCTCGCTCTATGTCCGTTTAAAACATCATTTTATTTATTTTTATCTTCTACGTTTGTTTTACCTAAAATTTTAGAGATATAAAAATATATGGCAATTTTTTTTACCGCAGCCAGTAATTAATTATAAAAGAAACACGGTAATAATAGAATGATGATAATTTGGAGGTAAAGAATATTTTTTCCATTTCTATTTTCATTTTTCTTCTCCGTCGTCTTATTTTCCCTTAATTTACTGTGTTCAGAGACGATGTGACCACTTACCTGAAAGCCGTGAGCGAGTCCTTCGAGGTGAAAAGTAAAGTTCGCCCAAACGAAAAGAATTAACAAGAGCGTTATGCCGAGGCCGAATTGACAAGTCTAACCTCGTAAAGCTAAAAAACATCCCAAAACATCAGGGTAATTTGGTAAATGAGGGCCCCGTCAGTCCACTTTGCTGCTTGGGATCCCGCAAGAGTGGGCAAAACCACATTTATCGGAGAGATTCAAACCCTTCTTTTTCAGGTCTTTTGTGCTTGTTCCATTCCCTCACGTGATACTGTCACCTCTCTTCCCTCGATCCTATTATCAATCCTCACATGATTTTTTCTTCTTCGAAGCTGTTTTCTCTGTTTT